GGGGGGGGGGGGGGGGGGGGTCGGTAATTGACATTTGTAACAGAAGTCATTTACAATGTGCTCACATGATCCAATTTGACCCAATGCTTCAAGTGCGCATTCACATTCATCTGCTTCTGTACTTTCCAGGAACTCGAACCTTTTATCGATAGCTGAAAGAATGGTTCTAAAACCTATATCCCAGAACAAGTATTAGTGGAAATTAGATGCTTGCAGTTTTCTGATAGCAACTACTGATCTTTGGAAATTAGATGCTTGCAGTTTTCCAAAGATCAGTAGTTGCTATCAAAGTCATGATTGAAATTATACGAAAAACAACTGAAGCTTACTAGATTCATCAATGAATGAAAATGCATTTTCCTTGGAGAGAAGCCTTCCAGCTATCATCATTGCCCTTGATCTTAAAATGGATTCAGCAGATCCATTGCTTTCATAAAATGGGAAATTACTTAAATAAGGCACAAAGAGAATGAAGAGAGAGAAAATTAATGAAGAAATTTTTTTCTTCCCATCAACCTGATTATAGAACTAAGCAGTTGGAGAAGACTGGTTCTTGATAAAAACTCCATACCATGCTGAACTTCAGCCAACTTCACACAGTACAAGTAGCACCAAAAATACGATTCAGATACTGATTGAAGAATAAGTAAATGAAAAGATCTTAAATAAAGAATAAATAACCCAGTTTTATTGTTAGGCACAATGCTCTGAGGAAAACCAAGTCAAAAAAATATCAAATTGTTTCAAAATTAAGTTAAACGGTTTATGATAATGTGCTACAAGTAAAAACCAAGAAACTTAGAAGCATTTTACTTTATGGCATTTCCAATTTTGGTTCTCAAAGTTCCTGTGATTTCAATTATTTTGTACTCAACTTAACAAATTCTTGTCTCAAATAGTAGGAGCTGGATAACAAAACATGATACAACAATTAGTTTAATTTAGGGAATGCTTCTCAAACCATAAGGCATTCTTTCTAATGTGATAATGATTCTTAAATGTTCTGCATGACAACCTAAGTAACAGTATTCATCTTCACATAAATATATGCACCAGAATGCAAAGGCAGGCTCATAATGTTTTGGCCACACATGGACAATGGCAATCATTTTAAGAGGACAATGATCTTGCTGTCAGAGTATGTTATTGCAATGAGCAGAAAACCGCATTTTGACACACTCAAAATTAAACTATTGATGTGGCCACATAAGTAATGATAAAGGCAGATGAATACAAGATCCAGGCCAAATAAAGATGGAGGGATTATGCCTGATAGTGCAAGTCAAACAGGATCAGGGCCAAACCTCATGCAAAAGTTCCAGCACACTCAAAGTCACAAGTGTATCATTTGTATTTATGACTTCTGCCTCCACTATCTTGAGAAGATTTGACTTGGAGATTTCCAATGCCACAGAACTTGAAATAGAGAAGAGCCTCACTATCAAAGCTAAAACTCGAACTCTTCCCTTTAGAGATTGTGGCAAAAGGACAGTAGAAGAAAACAAATAATCAGAATTTGAAGGCGCGTTGAGATAATAAAATGTTAGCAACATTGCTAAAATCATTGAATAAACATTGAGATAAGAATCAAATCATCACTGTAAAACATACAGGTGAGGTAATTATGACAGCTCAAGCTACCAAATAACCCCACAATGTAATTGTAATATTATATATGTACTCAATGATCCCCACCCCACACCCATGCACATCAAAATGTTCAATAGTTTCATTTTCTGCCGCAAAAATTGCTTTCTCTAAATGAATCCTCAAAAATACATAATCTTACCCTAGATAAATTTGTTGAACGTGAAACCTGTCACCCATTACATGTATCCCAAATGTCAAGTTCTAGATCAACTGCTTTCTGTACTGTCTTATTAGCGGTATCACTAATTTCGTCATCACAATTCTTTACAACCTTAGAATATAAGTTCATATATAGGGTCCAAGATGACCACTATGTATTTACTATTTAGTATGCACATTATGCAGAGCAATCAACAGTCCTTATTGCTACTTGCTTTCAGAAATAAAATTGTTTGAACCTATGCCACAAGTTCATACTGGTGAGACATCAAATATATACCAGCGATGAACACCTCATTGCCAAGTTCCCAAGGTGTGTAGCTTCATTGTTACTTGCTGGAAAGACAATTCCCTACAGAAAAATCATGACATTAACATGCACTTGAACATTCTCAAATTAGTCACTGCAAATCTAGAGAAAGACATTGACCTGAGGATAGTAATCTATTACATACCATTCCTTCAGGATAACCAGCTAAAGACTTAATTGCATCCATTGATGCAGTTGCTACTTGTTCATCACTACATAAGAAAAAAGGAAATCAATTTCATATGAATTATCGATTTTTTGTTGTGCACAAGACTTTTTTCTCTCATAAACACCAAACATATATGGCTTTTTAAGTCTAACACCTACCTGCATCAGGGAAAAATAGTTTAAAGAGGAAAATTCAATTGGAGCATATATTCAGCGGTTGCATGTCTAATCTTCCGAAACTTAGCACACTTACAGGCTACTGCCCACTAAACAACCTGATTATAAGCAATTTCCAAAATTCTTAAGTGATCGAGGGAAAAACAAGGAGAACTGAGAAGAATTATAGTGGGTAAAATTTCCTAAAATTCCCGAAAAGAAAAAGTTCTCCATGTTTTTACAGCCAATATCCAATACGTATTTGGCATATATTTTCATCACTTCTACTGTTTAATGAAGTTCATTGAACAAGTCTAATTGCATAAATTATGAGACTGGCCGGTGCAATTAATCATTGCATAGTTGTATCAATCATGTCAGTAAATCTTCAAAGTTTGGTCATACAAAACCATCAACTTTCAGAATCAGAAGATGATGCCAAGTATCCCTTATATTTCTGTTGTGAATCAGTATCAATCATCATTTGGTCATGATATACAAAATAATAACAGAAAAAGGAGATCAGAAGAGAGAATTTGATGAAGTGAGTAAAAAATCTGAAGCATGGACCTGAGTATCACTCACCAAATCCTGGCTGTGTTCACCTAAGCAAGGAGTCAGGGTTTTGAAGAACTCAGTATACCAGATTTTCTATAGGTAAGAGCGCATTCACAATTTTTATCTAGAAATAAGCAAATGAAATGTCTGTTTTTCGCCAAGATTTCCTCTCCTATTTTTCCTAGATGTAATATGAGCCTAAATAAATTAAAATTGAAAAATTAGACCTCAATCAAGAAAATTGATATATACCCATGCATACACATAAATATCACAAGATAAGAAGCGAAGATATCTAAAAACTAATTATATCGTAAAAGACCTGATTCTTGAAGTCCTATAAAATGGGCAGAACGTGGAGTTTCAATTAGGTTCTAACCAACCATCATAACATGACCCAATATGCATAAACTTCCATGACAAATAACAGGTAGCACTTATCCACTTTAGAGCAGAACAGTTACACAAAGGAACAAAACTATAGAACTAAAGTGTGGTCTTGTACTGATATTAGTTCTGCGTCCTGGAGCAAGAGGATAGAAAAACATTTACAACGTAAATTTTCAAAACAATAAAATTCCAATACTATGGCTTTTAAGCCCATTTAGGAAGGCAGGGAAACGCAAACCTCACATAAGTATGAGTCCCGTCACTAACAAAATTTGTTCAGCTGTACTACAAGTTATTACAATTCTTTGCCTGCATTAGTATACGCAAGTATGCTTGTAAAGCTGAAAATTAATTACATGTACAGATCAAATCCAAGGTTTACCCATCAATCAGGCAACTGAGCAGAAGTGGATAGACATCATGCTGAAGAACTAGTTGTGCAGCAATCCTTCTATCTGTATTCTCCAAAAGGAAAGATACCTGATACAGTAATTAGCATGTCAGATTTGAATTCTATCCATGATAACCCAAGAGTAGATTCCTAATAAGAGGAACGAAAATGAAAATAAGCATCTGTGAGCAGGACAGGAACATTGAGTTATGTTAGTGAAAACATCTGGGATAGCAAAATGTTCAGAAAAACCAGATGTAAGGTTGAATTTACCGTAAACACACTTACAGTTTTACAAGCAAGGCGTCTCACTTTTTGAGAATCTGCCCCCAGACCAACAATGACAAACGGCTGAAATAAAGGGGAAAAAAACTCAGAGAAAATAGTAGGTAACTATACCAAATAGAACCGATACATGAAAGAAAGAAAATAGAATTCAGCTATTAAATTCAACAATTTTTGAACATCTGCATTGATTGGTAGTATACACGAGGAATATGTGGTAAGAGTTGTAGCAAGAAAAAAATATTTCTGTGTCCATTTTCATACTTGAATTAGGAAATAAATTAATGAGGAGCCAAGATATTCAATACATGGATATGACGTAGCAACACGCAAAACTCTAAAAATTTAGGAAGTGCAAGCAAATTGAGTACCAATCCGAGTAACAAAGTTATACAAGAATGCATTTAAAAATCAACCGTTAACCTTCAAATATTACTGCAACAATTTCAGTATGGCGCCAAATTTAAGATACATATATGTGTAACCTTCAATATTAAATGACATCTCAAAATACAGAGTATTTCATTCAAGCCTGAGTTCTATGAAGTACACGAGTTGACTCAGTCAGGGTTAATCCACTATAAGTATTCTGACAGGAAACACATTTCACTTTATGGCACTCCTTTTCCCTATTGCCTAAATATATTCATCGAGGAAGTGAATCCTGAAAATTATGAAGGGAAAATAGACTTTGCAGAGAAAATTTATGAACCAAAGCCCTAATTAAGATGGTATGTGCATATCCAGGCACGCACTAAATTAGATATATGCGTACCATATAATGCGGTATAAGTGATGCCCCATATTTAGTTTTGAAAACCCTTTCCAAGCAATCAACTAGCACATTCTCCAGGCCTGGATAATCTGCCTTGGTTTGCAAAGTGCTACAGGCATATCAATCAAGTCCCATAAGCAAAATACATAAATCCCAACTCAATATGCTAAAAAAGGAAACGATTATATTAAGGTCCAACGGACATATAAATTTACTGGGTCTCGAACATAATATAATTATCTCAGCGGGTACACGCGAATTATGCTATATGCACTTGCAAGTTTGTAGGGTAACAGTGTGAGTGTGTTTTTTACCTGATAATGGCAGGGAGAGGAAAACGAGTGAGAAATTCTTGAGTTGAAGTATCCGAGTGAGCACCTGTTCAAATTAAAATCCTATTAGAATACATACATATACATGTATACACGTACATATGCATATGAGAGACAAAGCTAGAGAGAGATGTACCAGGGTGATGGGCAAAGTCGGAAGCGGCTTCGAGTAGTAGAACTGGATCGACTGAGTACTCTTCTTCCATGGCAGACAATGAGAAAGAGACGGTGGACTGGATTCACTCGAACGAGTATATATTCGAAAGTGGTGCCTCGCCGAGTATATATTCGAAAGTGGCCAATTTTTCAAAGTGGTCTTCGTTTAAGAGAAATTTATGGAAATGGCCATAAAAGTAGAAATAGAAAATGGCTCTCTTTTATTTTGTTTTGTTTAAAAGACTATATTAAAAATTAAAAAATTTAGTAGATTTTATTAAACCTAATTATTTAGCCGCCTAAAAATCAAGTTTTTAGTAAAATTTGATAAGATTTAATAAAATGAGTTATTGAAAAGCTAATAAAAATTGTAGATTCCATCAAAAGTTTGGTGGAAAATAAGTTTCAAAAAATGAGGTCAAACATGGGCATATTTGTGTGCATTGATCTTTTTGACAGAATTCTTTCATTTGAATACGTTTTGGAATTAAACTATTTGTACACCTTGATTGACATGTTGATGACGTGAGAGAATTATAATGGTTGGATTAAGTAATTGTTTGAGCCTCATTTTGAGAAAAAAAATGCATTTTTGAATAGTGATTTTTGTATAATGTGTGGTTAAAAATTAAGAATTTTTTTTTATTTACGTGTAATATTATTTTATTCCAAAATTAGTGGTTGAAAATAAATTTCGAAAAAACAAATTTTCGAAAAAATGGAGTTCAAACAACCCCTAAATGTATAAAGTGTGAAAGATGATGTGAAATTATGTCTGTCAAGTGTAAATTTGGTAATCGGTGTATAAACCAGGATATACATGTGGCAAGATTGCAAGTTTTGTCTACATATACATAATTTTGTACACAATGGTATCCATAATTATACGTGGCACTGGATCCAACCTTTAATTCAAATCTCACACTTTCACATCAATAGTCAGATATTGTCCACATCACATTATGGACACCATATGTGGCCAAATTATGTACACTTAGACTTTTTCTTTATATAATGGTTGAATTGGTGGACTGCATTAAATTCGATGCTAAGTGGTCAAACTTACTTTCTTTTTATGGACACACTTCATCGATCTTACAATTACTATTCGCACGTTTCATGGATGTCTGGTGGGTCGGTTTGGGTATTTCAATATTCTGAATCACCGACTATATTTCGAATTTTTTGTAGTTGGAATCAAACCCAAATCCGAACGTTCGGTTCTATCGATAACCTTTTTATACATACGTTTAATAAACATTTTTCATATGAACCCTTTTAGTATATATATCTAACACATTGTTACTCGACAATATTTGTTGCTTCAACTTGTCTTGTTTGTTGCATTGAGTTGTGGGAGACACATCGTAAACGAGTTGTGCTTTGGACACCGATTCTTGTACTCATGGACTCTATTCATCGTTCCCATCTCTATTAAATTTGGAGAAATCGTACTCTTGTCCCCAAACTAATGCTAAAGTAGCACATGAGGTGCACTATAGTTGCCATGCTAAAAAATCTAAATTTTGTTAAATCAACACATGGACATCAACGAAAAACGCGAGGCCTATGCAACACAACAAATATAAATTTAGACAATTTACATTATTGAGAATTGATCGTGTAACTATAAGAAAGTTTCAGTACCAACTTGTTAATTTTTAAAAGTTAGAGACGACGTGTAAATAGATTTAGTCATTTGGGGTTGATTACAAAAAGAAAGTTTTGTAGCTTTTGGTCAAAGGTCGAGTCAGCCTCCGCAAACAAGAACTTCTGGATCCAACCTTTTATTCACATCAACAGTCGAGCTTGTCCACATCACATTATGGACACCATTATGTGGCCAAATTATGTACACTTAGACTTTCTCTTTATATAATGGTTGAATTGGTGGACTGCATTAAATTCGATGCTAAGTGGTCAAACTTACTTTCTTTTTATGGACACACTTCATCGATCTTACAATTACTATTCGCACGTTTCATGGATGTCTGGTGGGTCGGTTTGGGTATTTCAATATTCTGAATCACCGACTATATTTCGAATTTTTTGTAGTTGGAATCATTCGTGTCCTTGTAATTATTGGAATCAAACCCAAATCCGAACGATCGGTTCTATCGATAACCTTTTTATACATACGTTTAATAAACATTTTTCATATGAACCCTTTTAGTATATATATCTAACACATTGTTACTCGACAATATTTGTACAGTAGAGAAAATCCAGCTAAAAAATTTTCAATAAGCAAAATAGTAGAGACTAAAAGCCACAAAAAAAGAGAAAATTAAAGCATCAAAAATTAAATTACAATTTGGGAATAAATTATTTTTTCTTTATATATCTTATTCGATCCATAAGTGAGAGACATGCTATAATTTAATTGTTATTAACATTGCTTAAATTATTCTACCCTAAAAATGAACTGATACTAAAAATATTAATTAGATACATAATTATATGATATCGATAAATCAAGGTTCACATATTGAACTTGATCCGTTTAAATGAAAAATGAAAAAAAAATATTTTAAAAGAGTACCACAAACTTAAGATAACCAAAAAGGCACGTCACGGTTCAAGTTATGGAGATATCAAGTTCAATTGTCACACATTAACTAAATAAATTAAGAATCACTTAAATTTGTAAATAATGTAAGAAGTAAAAAGCTCGAATGACAAAAAATGAACGCTTTGTTTCATCAATTTACACCACAATCTAACTTGAATTTTTTTTATTTATAGAAAGCCTGAATTACAAAGATTAACATGTACCAACCTTGAAAATGTACAATATGATGTGCGGCAAGCGGCAAAAAAGTAGAGTCGATCTTGATTTATTAAGGTTATAGTATAGAGTTTTAGACTAATTACTATCCAAATTAAAATTTTTAGGTTTTAAGTTTTTTTTTTCTCAACCTATAAATTGTTAATAAAAATTTATATAAATAATCAATTAATTCGAATACCCACGAATCTATTTCAAGATCCAAAAATCGACCCAAACCTAACGGTTATTGGTTTTCGATTCCGGTTCCTAATTTATTTTTTTGGAACTGAATCAAAACCTCTGGTTAAGGTTCAATTTCACTTTGAGAGTTTCGATTCAGGTTTAAATGTCCAGATCTACTTATTATTCACATTTTGGGTTGGGTGGTTGGCTGTGATCGGAGAGGAGTGGGTTTAGAGTAGGGTGGGGTAGGGTCCTTGGTGAACAAGATGTTATTTCTTTTATTTTTTTGGACGTTTCCTATTCCTATCCTAATTTTCGAAAATAGTTGGGATTCATATAGATGCTAAAAGGAAAAATAAAAAATAAAAAAATAAAAATTAATTGATGGTAGATTGACAGCAGATTAAAAAGGATGGAGACGAAAAATGCAAAATTTCTTTTTGTTTATTTGTATTGACAATTTAGTCCATGTAGATTAAAATCAATTTTTTAGTATATCTTTTGATAAAAAAAATGACGAAACATGCGTTTAAAAAGTTTCGGATCTTATAAAATGTGTAGTTAACGTTAATCATTCACTTTGAATTAAGATTTTAATCAAATATTAATAAATACGAAACATGGGAAATAGATCGTTGCTTCGACTTGTCTTGTTTGTTGTATTAAGTTGTGTGAAACACATCGTAAACGAGTTATGCTTTGGACACCGATTATTGTACCTCATGGATTCTATACATCGTTCCCATCTGTATTAAATTTGGAGAAATCGTACTCTTGTCCCCAAACTAATGCTAAAGTAGCATACGAGGTACACTATAGTTGCCATGCTAAAAAATCTAAATTTCGTTAAATCAACACATGGACATCAACGAAAAATGTGAGGGCTATGCAACACAATAAATATAAATTTAGACAATTTACGTTATTGAGAATTGATCGTGTAACTATCAGAAAGTTTCGGTACCAACTTGTTAATTTTTAAAAGTTAGAGACGACGTGTAAATAGATTTAGTCACTCGGTGTTGATTACAAAAAGAAAGTTTTGTAGCTTTTGGTCAAACGTCGAGTCAGCCTCCGCAAACAAGAACTCAGGGAGTGGAAAACATTTTTTAGTCTTAATGGCCGTAACACTTATCGAAAATGTTGATGAGTATGATATGATCAAGAATCATACGGTTGATAATTGAATAATTATCTTATTAATTATTTCAAGCTAAAGGGTCCACCCGATGTGTCAATCTAGCACGATTCATTGAATTGTGATGAGCACGTTACAGAATACAAAATATTCCAAAAGGTACACGACAATAGTAAGTCACCAACTCCCGTCTTGCCCGTGGGATTAGCACAACTAGTGCTCAACAGTTATTGGTTTTAATTTTTTTTAAAGAATTGTCTACTCGTACATAATAATATGTACATCAAGGTGTCCACCATATCACATGAGGGTGGGACCCACTTGAACAAAAAATATTATCTCCAAGTGGGCCCCACCTCCATGTGAGGGGGTGGATACCTTGATGTACATATTGTTATGTACAAGTAGCAATGTTCTTTTTTTAATTACACATTTAATGGGAACTATAATTTTTATCAATTTTTCAACTACACGTTTTATCAATATTTATCGAAATCTACAAATAAGTATTGACTTTTATCTAAATCAAACACGAGCTTAATTCGAGTTGAAGGGTTATCAGGGGACTCGGACGACATTATTTTCCAAGATTTGCGTTGTCATTTTTAATAATCGATATAAATGATTTGTGCACTTAGTTTAACATGGTAGTAATATACTAGATAATGCGTTATATCCTAATATTTATTTTGGCACGGTTAAACTTGAAGGTGAACTTAAAAGAAAGTGACATACAATCGGTTTACTTGTTACAACTCCACTACTTATTTATGGATTGTTACGAACTCGTTATCCGTATATACAAATGGTAAACTTTAAAATATAGGGAAATTTACAAAATACATCAAGTATTTAGTGTATATTTACGTGTATCTTTTTGCTTATAAATAATTCTTTAGTTATCGTATTTTTATTTATAAGAATGTTTTAAGTATAATTCAATTGTATCTTGTAAACTAAGACCGTGTTTGATAGACCACATTTTTCGGGGAAATAGGAAAATATTTTCTACTTTCCACTTTTTTGGCTATTTGATGGGCGAAATTTTCCACGGAAAATATTTTCCGGATTTTCCGCACATGTGTGCAATTTCCGGGTTTTTGATGAAAATGTTTTCCTGCCTTTTTGGTGGGAAAATATTTTTCCGGCTGACTGAAATTTTTTTTTTTTTTTTGTTTT